GGGGGGGGAAGACCCAGCAAGAAGAGATGTGAGCCTTCTTGTGAGCCAGCTCCATCCAGTATGTACTCCAACCTAGTTATTTCATCTCTGAAAATGGCAGGATAATACGAGATAACTATGCATGGGTGCCTAGGAGGGGCTGAGCACACGGTAGGTACAAGTTACTGTATTAAAATAGCAGCTAATGCTCAACCTACATTAGGTGCTGTTTTCAATACTTTACTGAAAACTCTTGCAACAACCTTGTAAAGAGTGTTATACTAGTCCCCAGTTTATAGATGGGGAAACTGAGGCCAGAGAGGTTAAGCAACTTGCCCAAAGGAACACAGCTCGCAAGAGACAGAACCAAGGTTTGAATGCAAGAAACAGACTTTAGCGCAAGAAACAGATTTCAGCGCTTGAGATGCTTGCCCAGGGCCCTCTGCTGCCTATCACTGGGGCAGCTCCGTACACTGGGTGTCCTCTGAGAATCCTAATAGACTCTGACATTGGCTGGGACTCTACAACTGTGGGGCTCCCTCACCAAAGGTCCAGTGAAGCTAAAAACATCCTTCCTGTTTCGAAACTGAAGGTTATCCAAATGAGGGAAGTGACTGACCCAAGGCCAGCTGGGTTTTGGACAGCTAAACTGGGAGTGGCAGCGGGGATTCCTGAGGCCAGGCCAGGGCTCCCCGATACTCACTTCCCTCAGCCAGGCAGGGAGACACTTTCTCTGTAGGTAAACGGTAGCCTCTAGGGCCAGGAAGCTTAGGCAATTGGTGGTGAGAGGACATAGTGTCCAGGGAGCTGGACACTGGTCTCCCAGTGGCCTGAGAGCTGGTCACTGTGACTGTGGCCTTTTCATCAGGGAGGGCAGCTCTAGGGGGAACAGCTTGGAGCCAAGAGGGCATGTGGGCAGCAGAGAACCTGCCAGGTTCCATATCCACCTCCCCCCACCAGCATCCTGTTCAGTCTCAGGACTGAGGGGTTTAAGGCAAGGCTCAGACTTCAGGCTCAGACACCCCAGGGTCTGAACCGGTCCTTCTTGGCCTCATGGACCTCATCTGTGAAATGGGGGGACTGGACCTCCCTCTTGGGGGTGGGAACCACGAGAGAAGGCGTGTGGGAGCCCCTGAGTGCAGTTGTCTGCTCACGCTACCTTCTAACCACATGGCCCCTGCCCCCAGGTGATGGCTTCCCTGGCTCTCTGCGGCACTGCGGGCTGGGCTTATGACAGTTTTATAACCCTAATGCGGCTTATTTCTAAAGCAGGCACGGACGAGACTGAGGAAAGTAAACATTAGACATCCATTAGTGCAGCAGGCCCCGCCCGCCCTGCCCCACCCCTCCTCACGGCCCTGGCACAAAGATGCATGGTTGGCCTTGGCAGGAACGTGGTTGGGCATCCTCAGGAGTACCTCTGCGTCATGGCAGCACCAGTGGCTCTCCACATAGCTACTGCCCCCTTGCCAACATCCCCATCCCACGGGTGTCCTGGAGGCAAATGCTCCCAGGAGACAAGAAGAACCAAGGGCCGACCTGGGATTCCTCCCCAGAGGGGCCACTGGCAGACTCCAGGCAGGCTGGCACACAGGAGGTGCTCAGCGAATGCAAATCAAGTAAAGGGGGCCTAGGGGCTGCCTCCAGGGCCCAGGTAGCTGCTGTGTTGGGCCCCTGCTCTAATTGCTGGACGCTTCCCTTCCTCCTTGGCCCTGGCTCGGGCCCTAGCATCTGAGGAATGCTAGGTGTCTGGGATGAGGGCCACCTGAGCCTATCTTCTGGGAGCCAGCTTGGAGAGAGCAGAAAAGTGGAGTCTCGGGGTTCCTGGGTGCTTAGTTTGCCAGATGCTGTCAGAATGTTTCATACAAACTCACTGAGCCCACACCAACCCTAGACAGAGGGTCCCAAACCTTTTTGGTCCTTAGTGTCTTGGCAAATTTTACCCAGTAATTTTTCTGGGTAATTTTTACTGCAAGGCCAAAAGAAATTCCTAGAGGTTCTGTTTATTAAGTAGTTAGATCCAAACAGTGTTTGTGTGTGCGCGCGTGTATGTGCGTGTGTGCATGTGCACACATGTATCCTAACACTTTAGTAGCCATTTGAAAAAATAATACACATAAATTGCAAGAGAAAAAAAATTTATATTCCATTTCTAAACAGCTGCAGTGACTTACTAATGGGGAGATGTACACCTGTGGGCATCGCATAGGTTCTCAAATCTTGGAATCAGAGTGGATGCTGCCACCCTCGTTGTTTGTCTCAGAGTACTCCCGAATGCCCAAGTCCCAGATTTGCAAAGATATGATGCCATCTAAAAGAAAGAGTGTGATGTAATGCTGAAGTTATAAGCTATCTTGAGCTGGTAGCTGTCGCAGTGGCTGGCAGCTGTCCAGTACTACTGTGTTTCCTTGAAGATTAAAAATATCTCCCAGCACCCCTGTGAATTTGCCGTGGCACCCTGGGGTGCCTTGGCACATAGCTGGAACCACAACCCTATGCATTAGGTACTATTATTATCCTCAGACTACAGATGAGAAAACTGAGACCCGGAGAGTCTAAGTAGCTGGCACAGGACTATAAGTTAGTAAGCATCGAAGCTGGAGAGCAAACTCAGGCAGCCTGATACCTCGAATCTAACTTCTGAACTGGGAACTGGCATTTATGGCCACCCTGTGCCAGGTGCCCGAAATATTTCAGCTAATTTACTCCTCACAACCCTCAAGGTGGGGGCTATCTTCCCATCTCATGGAAGAGGCCGAGCATAGAGGGATCTGCCTGAGGTCACCTGGTCAGCGGGAGGAAGCCAGGCACTTGGTCGCCCATCTCCCTGGCCTCACTACAATGCTTCGACTGCTCCTTCTCTCCAACGGGAACAAAACACCTGAGAAGAGCTCCCCTGAGAGGAGACCTTGCCTTTGCCAGGCCAGATCTGAATTTCCTGCTGGCAGGAAAATGTCCCACATAAAGTGGGCTTTTTCAAATAGAAATAATTTGGACCAATGGTTGCAAAACTGCAACCTGCCTTTAAAGCCGCAGACATGAATGGCCCATTACCCAAGATGAAGGTTTGGGAGAGGACGCATCCCTGCATGGACGTAACTCCAGACGGTTAACACACAGGAAAGGAACTGTCACTGAAGTCAGGAGCCCTGGGTTTGCAGCCCGCCCGGGGACTGGCATTGCGCTGCGTGGCCTTC